CTATTCCTGTTGCGAGGGAACAAAACTGTATTTTTCAGTGGCCTTAGTTCGGTGAGCTGTTGTTATATAAACGGAATGGGGTTTTCAAAATATTCTGCTTTAGAAATGTCACATAGGTTCGTCCTTAAGGGTAAAGTGGTAAAAGCTGCGATTTAAATGGTTTTCATTCTCTTATTGTTAACCAGACTTAGATGTTGATACTAGTTGTATCCACTATTTTTTATTTGAGGCATCCAGCAAGATGTTCACCAGATTTCCTCCACTGATCTGGACCGTGTGCCCCTGGTCCCTAAATACGGACGATGTCTGCGGCCCCGATTATTGCTTGGTGGTCTGCAGGACGGGAGCCGGCCGTGCCTCAGAAGTTTGCGCTATGGTGGGTGAGTGAGAAGAGGACTCAGGGTGGTGGGGCCTGGGCTGTGCTCCCCTCCTCCAGCACAGGGCACAGCCACATCCTGAGGCGGATCAAGACGATTTTAACCATTCAGGAGCTGAGGAAAGGGTTTAATGTCACCTGAGAGGAGGTAGGGCCCCGGCAAGGGAAGATGCAGCCTCCTTTTTGTCTGTGAGCCTGGAGGTGACACACACCAGGTACAGACAGCGAGCGGACACTCCTCTCAGGGCTCCACATGGCTTGAACCACGCTGAGGGGCTAAAACTTGAAGCACTGTGATGACAGGGCACGGCAGCTATCCTTTTTTACCTTTCTGTATTTTCACAGCAGTGACCTCAGCCTGAATTGGGGCCTGAAGCTGCCCTTGGCAGGTCTGGCTTTCCTCTCTGTTCTTCCTGAGGGACAGAGACTGCCGTCCCTCAGCGCTATGGGCTGTGAGACTGAGCTCCTGTACATGGAATTATATTAAATGAAATAATGACAGAAGGCATGATCATGGTTGGGTCATACACCTTAATAAAGAGGTGTTTTGTTTTGTTTTGTTTTTTGACAAAAAGAATCAATTCTGGACGCCAAAATCCTGCAACAGCAGGTGAAAGCACCCAGCTCCCCCACCTTCCCCTTCTCCTGCCCAACCCGAAGCCTGGAATTGTGGCGGCCCCTTTAAGACTCTCCCCATTTTGCGCGCTGCCCTGCACCAAGATGGCGCCCCCGCCCTCACTTCCTCTCCCTCTCCTCGTTATGCCCCCCCCTCGCCACCCCTAAATGCCGCCCACCCACCCCGCTCGATCGCGCCCTGCACAAAGATGGCGGCGCGCCCTCCTCGTCATGCCCGCTCCCAAAATGGCGGCGCCCTCCTTCGCTCCTGTGTAGCGGCGGCGGGGGGGGGGGGGGG